GAAAAGGTTACCAATAGAAAAAACATTTCATTTAGAATAATATCAAAAACCATAACATAGTTAGAAAGAGGTGTAAAAGTAAAACAAGTTCTAGATGAATAAACTATAAATGATAAAACAGGCAACATCTAAACAAATGGGAAGGCATATCATAATTTGGGATGAGAAGATATAACATCATAAAAATGGCAATGCCCCCAAATTAATATATAAGTTTAATACAATTTGAATTAGAATTTCAACTGAGGGTCTGAGAATTGAATAAGTTGATTTTAAAGTTTACTTTAAAATTAAATGCCAGACAATATCTGACAAAATCATGGAAAGTGAGAACAGGGCTTACCTTACCAGGTAGGATGCCTCACCAGAAAAACTTAGTACCAAACCACTCTAATCAAGTCAACAGAATATTGCTACATAAATAGAAACATAAATTGGTGGTAGAGATATCAGAAACAGTCCATGTTATATAAGGCTTTAATATATGACCAGTCAACACAGTGGGAAATGTGTATAGTATTAAACCAGTGGTACAGAAACCAGTGGCACATGAGTGGTTCAGTGGTTTATTATGACAGTGAGGCACAACGGGCTCTCCATGTGGAAAAAATATAGTGCCCCATCTGACACTATAAAAAAAACATTTCAAATGGATTAAAGTCAAATAATTTTTTAAAAACTTAGAAGAAAATCTGAGAGACTACATGTACAATCTAGAGATAGTGAAATCTTTTAAACCAAGACTAGAAACTCAGATGTTAAAAGCAAAAAAAATAAATTTGTTGGACTATATAAAAATTAAAAACACATTTTTTCTATGGTAAAAGATATGCTAAAAAACAAGTCATGGACAAGTCATAAAACAGGAAACATTTATAATACAAATGACAAAATAATATGTCTACAATATTCAGTGAGAACTTACAAACTGATATAAAGCATAGAAATACCTCTACAACAAAGGGTGACATATATAAATATACAACTCGTAAAAACACAAAAAGAACATTTTATTAATTTGACCCCAAAAGCAAGGGAAGTAAAGGCAAAAATAAATGAATGGGACTATATCAAACTAAAAAGATTCTACACAGTAAAAGATACTGACCACAAAACAAAAAGACAGTCAATTGAATGGGAGATGATATTTGTGAACAACATCTCCAACAAGCGGTTAATATCCAAAATATATAAAGAATTCATACAACTCAACACCAAACAAACAGACATTCCAATTAGAAAATGGGCAGAGGACCTGAACAGACACCTCTCTCAAGAAGACATACAAAGGCCATCAGATATATGAAAAGCTGTTCAACTTCACTAGCTATTAGGGAAATGCAAATCAAAACTCACACCTGTTAGAATGGCTATTACCAACAAGGCAGGTAATGACAAGCAATGGGGAGGCTGTGGAGTAAAAGGAACTCTCATTTGCTGCTGGTGGGAATGTAAATTGGTACAATGACTATGGTGCCTCAGAAAACTAAATATAGAGTTACCATATGACCCAGTAATCCCTCTTCTGGTACCTATCTGAAAAACTCAAAAACCTTTACTGGCAAAGATTTATATACCCCTATGTTCACTGCAGCATTATTCATGGTGGCCAACACATGGAGACAATAAAAGTGTCCTTCCATAGATGATTGGCTGTAGAAGATGTCATACATATATACAATGGAATATTACTTAACCATAAGAGGAGATGAAATACTGTCATTTGTGACAACACAGATGGATCTTGATAATATTAAGCTAAGCAAAGTAAGTCAGAAAAACCTAAGAACCATATGATTTTACACATGGGTGGGATAAAATATGGATACTAATAGACACAGAAAACAGTATGGTGATTAGCAGAGGGAAGAGGGTGGGGAGGATAGTAAAGGGTAAAGAAGGACAAATATATCGTGACAGAAGATGACCTGACTTTGGATGGTGGACACAGTACTATGTACAGATCACGTATCATAGAAGTGTACACTTGAAACCTATATAACCCTAAAAACCAATGTCACCCGGATAAATTTAATTAAAATATATTAAAAGGGAAACATACATAAATAAACAATTCATAAAACCACAAACCTAAGCAGCCAGAAAACAAATGAAAAGATGTTCAATTTCACTATTAGTTAAAGATATGCAAACTTGAAATGTGATGTTACTTTCACCCATCAGACAAACAAATATTTAAAAAACTACAATGCATTGTAGGCAGTGGAGGGGATGAGGGGGACTCTACACATTACTGGTGGAAATAATAAGTATTTCATAATTCTCAGTAGGCACTCTTGCAATTCATATTCAAATTTAAAATACATATAACCTTTGACTCAACAATCCCGCTACTAGAGGTCCACTCTATAAAAATAAAAGCACTAGTAAATAAGGACATATTTTGGCTTTGTTTACTGTGATAAAGATCTGGAAACATTAATACTTGTATGCCCATTCATAGCTGAATGGCTAAATAAAGGTAGTATATACCATGGGACACTATGTTGCCTTTAAGATCACTGATTTAGTATTATACTAGGTGATTTGAAGGGATTTCACAAGGTATTGCTGAGTGAGGAAAACTGGACATAGAAGAGTGTGTGTAATATAATCCCATATTAATAAAACAAGAGCCATCCCTCCAGACATAGGTACATGTATGTATTTGTGTTTATGTGTGTGGTGTGGAGAGTGTGTGTGTGTATGTGGAATGTCTACAAGTAGATTTTATGAGCAGGGAGATAAATATGGAATATTGGGCTATGTATGCTGGATCATTAACAACCATTAGCTGGGGGAAGAGAAAGAGAGCAGATATGGATGAAAGAGGGTGGGATGGGGAAGAAAGAACTGATAAAAAGAGAAGTTTTAAAAAAACTGCACCAGAAATTGATAAGCTGATTCTTAAATTCACATAGAAATTCAAGAAACCCAAAACAATCTTGATAAAGAAGAATAAAGTTGGAGGAGTCACACTTCCCAATTTCAAAACTTATTCTAAAGCTACGATAATCAAGACAGTGTGGTACTGGCATAGAGACAGATAGAGATCCAAATAATAGAATTGAGAGTTCAGGAGTAATTCTAGACATTTGGAGTCAACTGATTTTCAACAAGGATGCCAGGACCAATCAATGAGAAAGAACGGTCTTTTCAGCAAATGGTTGTGATACAACCGAATGTCACACGCAGAAGAAGTTGGGCCCCTATCTCACACCAGACACAGAAATCAACTCAAAGTGGAACCAAGACTTGAATGTAAGAACTAAAACTATAAGACTTAGAAGAAAATTTCGGCAAAATTCTTCATGACTTGAGATTAGCAGTGGTTTCTTATGTATGGCACTGAAATCACAAGCAACAAGAGAAAAAAATAAATAGACTGGACATCACAAAAAACTTGTGTGCTTCAAAGGACACCATCAAGAGTGTGACACCATCAAAAGTGTAAAAAGACAACTGAGATAAAGTTTTTGCAAGTTACATATCTGATAAGCCACTAAGTGTATTTATAATTTAAAGAATACTTGCAACTCAATAATAAAAAGACAACCCAATTAAAAAATAGGCAAAAGATTGGAATAGACGTTTCTTCAAAGAAGATAGATAAGTGAGCAATAAGTACATGAGAAGAAGTTCAGCATCACAAGCCATTTAGGGAAATGCAAATCAAGACCTCGCTGAGATTCCACTGCACACCCACTGGCATGGCTATGATAGGAAGACATAATAACGAGTATTAGGGAGAAGATGAAGAAACTGGAAACTTTATATACTGCTGGTTGGAATGTAAAATTGTACACCCACTTTGGAAAATTCTGGCAGTTTCTCAAAAAGTTAACCATAGAATTACTCTGTATACCAGTAGTTTCACACCTAGTTATATAGCAAAGAGAAATGAAAACTTATGTCTACACCAAAATGATACACAAAAGTTCACAGCAATATTATTCATAATGCTGAAAAAATGGAAACAGCCTAAATGTGCATGAATTGAAGAATGGATAAAGAACATGAGGTATGTCCATAAAATGGAATATTGCTCAAGGATAAAGAGAAATAAAGTAATGATGCATGCTACAACATGGGTGAAGTTTGAAAATGTTACATGAAAGAGAGAAGCCCGTCAAAAAGGACGGCATATAGCATCACTTTATGTAAAATGTCCAGAACAAAGAGATCTGTAGTGATAGAAAGCAGAGGTGGGCTAGGAATGGGCTAGGAAATATGCTTCTAGCATGTTTCTTTTTGGGGTGAAAACTTTAGAACATGAAAATATTTTTAAAATGATGATGGTGATGGATGCAGACAACTGTGAATATGCTAAAAGTCATTAAAATGTACTTTTGCACTGGCTGGGTGCACTGGCTGGGTGGCTCCGTTGGTTTGAGTGATGTTCCTGTACACTAAAAAGGTTGCAGGTTTGATTCCCAGTCAGGGAACATACTTAAGTTGCAGGCCTGATCCCTGGTCAAGGGGTATATGGAAGGTAACTGATCCATGTTTCTCTCTTGCATCAATATTTCTCCCTCTCACTCTCTCGCTTGCTCTCTTTCTCTCTCCCCTTTCCTCTCTCTCTAAAATCAATACACATATCCTTGGGTGAGGATGTTAAAAAATGTACTTTTAAATGGCTGACTTGTATGATATATGAATTATGTTAATAAAGCTGTTATAAAAAATGACTGCAGTAGAAAATAACATGTAATCATATTTATGCATTTATATAAAATTTCATAAGCAGGGGATGCAAATTTATGTAAAATAAAAGGTTAAGAACAAAACCAAATTCAGTTACATCTCAAGGCCACTGTTTCCTTATCTATAAATATTATAATTCTACTCATCTCATAAGGTTATTTGAGTAATTAAAAGGATGACCCATGTAAAGCACTTAGCATAATGCTTGGCATATATTAATCACTCAATTAATTGCTAACTCTTGCAATTAGAGAGGATGAAAAGATACTTCCTAAAGAGGTGTCTTTCATACTCACCTCCATTGTAAAACCTATGACTTTGAAACATTGCTCAATTAATTCATATTGAGATTTATAGAAACTATTGTTCGTCAGGTCTTGTACTGTTCTGAGGTGATCGTTTTGTAGGTATCTGAAAAAAAATATGGAAGAGTGAGTAAAAAATCTAAAATTAGGTGGAAAGTGAAAGCATTATTTAAGAAAATTACAACCTGCTGAATTACCTGGGAGGTTTATTTTCAGGCAGTTTGTAATGGGCTAGTTTCTTCTTTTCGGCTAAACCAGCATAGATGTAGTAAAAAACATGAAAATTTTTTTCTCCACTGAAAAAATAAGACATTTGCAGAAAGGTGATTAGTAGGAATATTTATTGTTAAAATTTCTTGGCAATATAATGATCAGAACAACAACTGTGAGTATCAATGTTTCCCAGGATACTGGATTTTGGCTTTCTGTGGTTGTCATTGTTGATATTACTTTCAACAATGATTGTCATTGGATTCTGGACACTGCTAAGCATTTTATATGAACCACTCAATGCCTGTTTGTGAGTGAGTACCAGGCACTGTTGCAGGCACTGGGAAACAGCAAGAGAAAACAGTCAAAACTCCCTAACAAGCAAAATAACAACAGACTCATAGAGAGCAGAATGACAGCTAACAGCAGCGGGGTGGGGGTAGGTGGTGAAGGGACTGAGGGATTGAGGCGGTGGAGGGATTGTCATGAACATGGACAACAGTGTGGTGATTGCAGAGGAGGGGGGAAGGGGAGTATAAGGCAATGCAAAAAATACAATGAAAATCCCTAACTCCTTGGAGTTTACATGTGAGCAGAGCAGAGAGAAAAAGAAACAAATTAATAATATATAGACAGTGTGCCAGATGATCATAAGCACTACATTGCCTTATTTACCTGCCATAACCCCCTGGTTATTACTCATGCCCTTCCTTCATTTTACATACAAGGAAACTGAGGGTTTGAGTGGCTACTGATCTCTTCAAGTTGATGACTAAACTGGATTCAAACCAGGGCTGTTTGAATCCAAAGCCCATGTCTTTGACCACATTGTTACACTGACTTTGTGGGGCTCAGTTTTCTCACTGTATGAGGAATCTGTTTCTTACAAGTCTCAGGTTCCATGACTAGGGTTCTATATATAAACAGCATCCCCAGATTCTGGAATAATACAATTAAAGGAATGTGAGTCACATGGTGAGTCTCTGGCTCAAGATAGTCCACCTCTTTCTTTCCTACCCTTCCTTTTGTTACCAAACCCTAACAGGAGAGGGGGGTCCTACTGCTCTCTGACTACCAGGCAAATCTCCAAAGATGGAATTTGGTGGAAAAGAAAGGAATCTTTTATTTAATGGCAAGTTTCTGCCTAAAATATCTGGGTAACAAAATTAAGGGGAAAGGAAAAGTCAGAGTATGACATATTTAAATATTTGTCATTACAACTACTACACAGGTTCAAGAACTGAAAATAACACAAGCTCAAAAATCCGTTCACAGTGCTGACTGTTATCACCAAGGCCTTTGGAAATTATGGCAAGTTTCTGCTTCAAAGCCCATTCCCTCTAAGACACCCAAAGAAAAATCACCCTGTCACCCTCTGTCAGCTCAGTTCAAGGTTGAGCTAGGAACCTCTCCTCCCACCCAAAAGTATCATAAACGTAGGTGGCTCAGCTGGTCTCCAGTCACCGTCCAGCTTCAGGCATCTTTCAGAGTCTGCCCTAGGCCTCCGCTCACAGGCCCCCACCACTGGCAGGCCCACTCGTGACCTTTGACATGCCCCTTGCCCAGGAGAGGGAAAAGAACCAACCGACTTTTCACTTCCCAGTGTGCTCTGTTTCGAAAGTCTCCCAGAATCCTATGCACGCTGAAAGTCAGTGGGGGTGTCCAGCTTCCCAACCAATGAGGGCCAGCGTTGGCCATGTTTGCCTTTGCCCTCCTCCCCCATGGTTCGCAAGGGGGCAAAGTCTCCAGCCACACATGCACAGCTCAAACCCCTCCCCCATTTCCGGAGGGAGTGTGACTCTGTGGTTCTATATATAAACAGCATTCCCAGATTCTGCAATAATACAATTAAGGGAAGGAGTGTGGGTCACAAGGTGAGTCTCTGGCTCAGAAGGGTACACAGCATAACTGCTGAGACCTCAGGGTCCCCCTTCTCCTCCTTTCCTTGTCTTTCTTTTGCTCTGGAGAGGTCCTGGAATGGATCACACTTTCTCTTCAAGGTCAGGCAAGTTCCCTTCAGAAACAGAGAAGGCTGATCTTCCTGCTTTCCAGGTTCACAGTCTCTGTGGTCCCTCTTTGGCCTGCTTTGCTTCGATTCTGAAGACCATGATTGGCCATTTGGAAACTCTGAGTTTGCCTCTTTCTTGTGGAATTGCCCTTTTTGTTTGCCACTGTACCTTCCTCTTTTTTAGTGTGGCTCTAAATCTTCACTTGACTATTCACTCCATTATCACTCTGAGACTGCAGTTGGGGCAGAGAACAGTTCCTCCTACAAGGGCTAAATTAGGTATAACCTTCAAACCGTAAGGCCTCGCTGTCTTTATTTCTTTTTATATGACTCCTCTTTCAGTTACTATAAAGCTCCCACCCCATCACAAAGGTTTGGATGTTACAAAAGGGACTTGGTCAGGAGATGCTAAATTGCTGCTGCACAAGCAGTCTTCTCTGTGGCTGTATTAGCCAGGAATCTCCAGGGAATCAGGACCAACAGGGTGTGCCTATGAGTGGGGGGTGGGGGGAGAGAGAGAGTGTGTAATATGAATTGGTCAAGAAAGGAAAAAAGAAACATCAAGGACAATACACATTTTGGAAATGGATGGATAACTCTAAGTTAGAGAAGAAAAAATCAGAGAGGTATAAGAAGAATCAGGGAATCTAGTCATAGAAGCAAAGGCAGGTGAACTTTTGAGAAAAGGGCTGGTCCACTGGCTCAGATGCTGAAGCGAGGACTGGACGTCCTTTAGAATGGTTGTGTTCACACTCTCCACCCCCCCAGCATGACTTGTTGCAGTCACCTGTCACACTTCAATGAACATTAGCACTGCATGGTTAGAACAAAATGAAAATTTTAGTTCTTGCCTTTTCTCACCACAAGATAACAAAAATTCCCCTAAGGTTGGCAAAGCATATAATTCGGTTTGCTTTGTTCTAATGAAACCACATGATTGCTCTGTGTGTCACACCTTTCAGGCTTAAATGACACAGTGTACAATTAGAGAGGTGAGTCATAAATGTAGACACTCAGAATTGGTGGTTTTCTTTTTAATTATCAGTTTATGTTTACTGAGAACTGTAATTTGACAGGACCTGGAGATACTATAGGAAATATACTGATCTTTAGTAGACAAACATCCAGAGAGTTAAAGAAACAGGAAAAAAAGATACTGCCAAAATGGACCCATTTGCTGTCTTGCCCTAACTATACCAAAGGCATACCGAAGTAAACAGAGGACCACAGCATCCCATACGTGCTCATATGACAGTGCTTCCCAGGTCACAAAGGCTAAGGACAAACAGGGTGTCAGCAAGTTACCAAAGAGTATTTCTCTGTCTCTGGCCACAGCCCTAACTGTGTGTCTTATAATACTTCTTCAGAGTCTCGCTGAGCCATTTTCAGAAGGTCCTCAGGGCTGTCTCATGTGTGTTCACCTGCCCTAGATCCTGGGGATCACCTATGTAGCCAAGGCTTTGAACACCCTCAAAACTGTGGCAGAGTCCTCACAAGGGTGCGGCCTACTCCACCTGTAAAATGGTTCAATCTTTGACAAAGTGGTCAATGATAAGGCTTGGAAAGCCAGCAATACAACTTTTTATTAATAAACCCCATAGAATATTTGTGAAACAGCTTTTAATTTTTCATTTTTAATTATAGCTCCCTCCACTAAGAGTTGCTCCTCTAAGACATGCAGCCTCCTCAATCCCTCAATCTGCCACACCCCTGCTCACGCGTAGCGGATGGACCCAATGCCTTCTTTCGTGAGAGATTAGAAACCAATAAGTGGTCAGCATGCTTTGTGTCAAAGCATACACAGCCCTCCAGGAGACTGTGAACTGCTTTACCACAGGAATCCTTAGCTTTGTATCTTCTATGCCTAGAACAGTTCCTGGAACCTAGTGGGTACTAAATAAATATTTGCCAACTGGATGGGTGAATGACTGACTAATGGACTTTGTAGCCAGCCGGCCAGACATGGGTTCAAATCCCAACTCAGTCATTTATTAGCTTCTTAATATTAGGTAACTTACTACAATTCTTTTAGTCTTCATTTCCTCATGCATAAAATAGACAACAATATCCTGTCACATCATTCTGAGAATTAAGAGAATAATGGTTATAAAGTGCTTAGCACAATGTCTGACACAGTGATTGCTTCATAAGTAATACTGTCCCTTCCTCTGAAGTAGAGAGCACCTCATGTGCACTTTGTTGATATCTCCTGTAGGGTCTGGTAAGGTGCAGGGTGTGTGAGAGAAATGCAATTAATGCTTGCTGAAGTAAACTGTAGTACAGGATAAAAGTGCAGTGAAACAGCTATACTTTGTACTTACAAGTGAAATTAAAGCAACCTCTTTTAAAAACTTCTTTAGAATAAGGGATTTAAGTCACAATTTATATGATAGTGCCATTATTAAAAATATAAAAATAAACACAGAGATTGGGGTGCAATGACATGAGTTAAAAAGAGAAGAACTTATTCCCTAAAAAGAAAGGGTAAATTCAATTAAAAAAATAATTGTCTGCTCTGATTCTTCTCTGCCACCTGAGATCCATTTTCCACTCTTCTTTGCCCTGCTCTCCAGACTGTGATACCTACCGGGGCTCCAGCCCTCTCTGGGGCATGACCACCAGGAAGCACAGGTAGGAGATGGCAGGGAGGGAGAAGAGAGGGCTGGGTGTTGTCCCCTTGCTCCCTCCCTCACAGTGGCTGTACTCCCTAAATGAACAGATCCTGAGGGCCCTGGCTCTCACCAGGCGCTGCAATGCTGCTCCCTCCTTTCGCACATTAGGTTGAAGGGTAGTACTGGTTCCTCACTGCTGTGCTTCTGTGGGTGTCTCACATTTATTATTGGTTCTTCGATGCCCTCTCTACCTCTGTTGATCGTCCTCTCAGTTACACTCTTTGAACCAGTTCTTTGCTTTCCGTGCTCTGACTGATAGAGCACACTTACATTTATAATGAGAAAATGGACCTACTAAGAATGCTTCTGTTACATTTCGTTTTTAAAGATCACAAAAATCTTCTCTAGAATTTAAAAGTACAATTGAAATTAAGTAAAAAAAAAAAAGTAAAAAACCCCCCAGAAAAACGGAAAACCGATAAGGCAGCTGTGCTCAAATTATAACTGAGTTGTATTTCAACCTGAATGTGAATTTGGAACTTGGAATGTTTCCCTCAATAAACAATGTAGTAAAACTAAACTAGTCCTTTAGGACAGCTGGAAAAAACCTTACTTAATTTACAGCATGCCTAAATATAATTCTAACTGAGCAATTACTTAGAATATATCCTACGATATTTCAATAAGCATTCATGAGATTATTTCTATGGTTAACCTAAGAGTGTCACTGTCCACAGTTTATTTTACATGATACTCCCTAGAACCCAATATGAACGGTGTCCTCTGACATTGTGCAACATGGTGGCACCACTTAAATCTCAACAATTTTGCCTCTTAGGTAGACCTTCCCCAAATGCCCAAAGGAGAGACTTACACAGTTATGAGAATAGGACAAATGGTTGGGAGAACCAGTTAATTCTCCACATGTGCAGAGGACCCCAAGGTATGGGTGGCAAAGTCCACCCATGCAGGTCCACTAAGCTCTGGGCACAGGGTATACATCAATAATAGTAGTTGCTGTTTACTGAACATCTTCAATGTTCTATGTCTGTGCTAGGTGTTACTTTGATCTTTACACGATTGTCAACACTACTACTGATAATAATAGCTTAAACTGATGGGTTCTTACTATGTGCTATTCATTGTGCAAATACTGGACCGGCATTATCTTAATTGATAGGTAGGACTATTGCTCTTTCCATTTTAAAGATGAAAAACTGATGTGCAGAGAGATTAAATATTCCAAATCTTCATACGCACAGTAAGTTTCAGAACCTAGATCCTAGAAGGGTCTTTAAGATTTCAAAATCTTTCCTAAAGTGGACCTACATGTCACAGAGCCACAACTAAAAACCGTATTTGTCTAATTGCCTTTCCTTACATATCTTGAATTAAGGACTAAAGAATAATTTTCCACACTGAGGGCTGAGCTCAGGAGCTGGACTCCAGGCAATTTATATTCACAATTTACTCATAGTTGAATGACAGCAAATTTGAAGGCACTTATGGTAAATAATAATATGCTACTACATAACAAGAGCTTGTGTTCCCATGAATTAAATATGACATATTACTACAATAATGTAGGTATGTCTAGCATAAAACCAATGTAAAAAAAATGGAAGACTCTAACTTGCTCACTTTAAAAAAATAATATCACCACTGGGGTAGAAATCTGATTTGTGATTATAGTTTCCTCATAAAAATAATGAAAATGTCTTTGAATCATTAGGCCAGAGAAGAAGTTTTTTCATTCAGCTACAAGCTGCCAAAAGGAACACAGATGCCGCTTATGACACACATGCAGTTTAGGGCACACAGTTTCAGGACATGCAGATCACCAATGACATGCATGTCACAGATGGCACAGATGTCACTAATGATGCATATGTTGCTTATGAAACACATGGCACGTACAACACACATGACACTTGGGTATGTGCGTCAACTTGTGACAAGTATGTTGCTTATGCCATGTATCTTTGGTTGTTTCCCCCTAATAGGAGAGATTGTATGTGAACTTACAGGGCTTGGTGGATAACTCGGGATTTCTCCAGAAGGTATTCATAAATCTGTGCTCCCACTACCGCTCCAGAAGAGGTAAATTTCATTTCTAAATATTTCCCAAATCGGCTGGAATTGTCATTTATAATAGTGCAGGCATTGCCAAAGGCTTCCACCAAATTGTTCACTTGTAAAATCTTCTCTTGAAGGGTTATGTTATTAGCCTAGAGAAAATGCAAAATATATTTAAAAATTAATTTTGTATGTAATGTTTATTCTTTGATAAGCACTTTATGTATATATAAGTGTATAGGAACATAATCTTGGTGTACTGCCGGATGGTACAACCTAGCCTATTTCTCCCCTCCCATATGTGCATTCACCCACCTGCTCCCTGAGAGGGGCTCAGAAACATTCTGTGCTGTTTCTATTCAAATACAGTTCCATTTAGTGCCAAATTTACCAACACAGCTTATGCACATTGAGGTACACTTCTTATTATTCCTCCTCTACTTGCTTGGGCCCTCATCCAAAGCTTCCCAAAAGCCAGAACCATTCTCCCTGCTTCCATGGAAGGTGCTAAACCTGCAAGTGAGGGAGTTAAGATAATCTGTAAATTCCAAAGCAGAGGAAAGGGAGTAATTGTGAAAATCGAGACCATCTTAGAAGTGTAGATGGGGAAATGGAAACCCAGTCAAGGCCTACTTGCCTGTCCTTCTATTTTTTTCCTACCTCATTTCATATTCTCCTCCCCTCAAACAAGAGTAATTTCTTTGTCTTTATCACCAAGACTTGAAATTCCACTGAGTAGGAATTTATTTGGATTAAAATGATCTCTTTTAAAAAGCATCCTCTACTCTGCGAAGTTGAAGGAGCTATCAGTCATTCACACGTTTGTAGAAATTTTGGATTAGGTAGGTTATGTGCAGTGTAATATCTTGCTGATCTTAGCTGTGTTAAAATATGGAAATTTTATAAGTCAGGGCTAGGGGCAAAAGGTACTTCTGGGACATAGGCTACAGTAGAATGTGAGTGGGCTGGAGCGGGCAGTCACAGTGAGGTCTGAAGGGCATATAGGACTCTGAGTATTTCTAAAAGAGGCAATAAGGGTTGAGAGTAACATGGATTGAAACAAACATAGCTCTTTTAAAATGTGGGACTAGCTTTGCATACATGAAAAAGATGAGAAAACATCTTCATCTACTTATATTAGTTCCTTAAGTAAGGACTTTTTAAATTTTTGAGTTGAGGCATCTGTGGGATATTTTTTTTTATTGTCATTCTATTACAGTTGCCCCAATTTTCCCCTGCTGCTGTCCCCTGCCCTGCTCACGTCCCCGCTCCCAGTCAACCCCAACCCTGTTGTCTTTGTCCATGGGTCACTTATATTTGTTCTTGAACTAGGCCCTTTCACTTCTTACCTCCTTTATCCCCCTTTCCCCTCCCTTCTGGTCCCTGTTGGTCTGTTCCTTATTTCCATATCTCTGGTTCTGGTTTGCTTATTTGTTTGTTTTGTTCATTAGGTTCCACTTATAGGTGAGATCATATAGTATGTGTCTTTTGCCACCTGGCTTATTTCACTTAGCATAATATTCTCCAGTTCCATCCATGCTTCCTCAAAGGGTAGGAGTTCCTTCTTTCTGCTGCATAGTATTCCATTGTGTAAATGTACCACAGTTTTTTGATCCACTCATTTACTGATGGGCACTTAGGCTGTTTCCAGCACTTGGCTATTGTAAATAATGCTGCTATGAACATAGGGGTGCATAGGTTCTTTTGAACTGGTGTTTCATGATTCTTGGAGCATAATCCAAGCAGTGGAATTGTTGGATCAAAAGACAGTTCCATTTTTAGTTTTTTGAGGAAATTCCATACTGTTTTCCACAGTGGCTGCACCAGTCTGAATTCTCACCAACAGCGCACTAGGGTTCCTTTTTCTCCATAACCTCGTCAGCACTTGTTGTTTGTTGATTTGTTAATGATGGCCACTCTGACCGATGTGAGGTGAGATCCCATTGTGGTTTCAATTTGCATCTCTCTGATGGCTAGCGATATTGAGCATCCTTTCATATGTCTATGGGACAACTGTATGTCCTCCTTGGAGAAGTGTCTGTTCAGGTCCTTTCCCCATTTTTTAATTGGATTGTTTGTCTTTTTGGTGTTGAGTTGTAAGAGTTCTTGATATATTTTTAGAGATCAAACCCTTGTCTGAGGTTCATTGGCAAATATGTTTTCCCATACGGTTAGTTCCCTTTTCATTTTGCTGATGTTTTCTTTAGCCTTGAAGAAGCTTTTTAATTTGATGTAGTTCCATTTGTTTATTCTTTCCTTTGTCTCGTTTGCCATTGAGGATGTATCAACAAAAGTATTGCTGCCTGGGATATCTGAAATTTTCCTGCTTACGTTTTCCTTTAGGACTTCTATGGTGTTGTGTCTTATGTTTAAGTCTTTTATCCATTTTGAGTTTATCCTGGTGTATGGTTTAAGTTGGTGGTCTAGTTTCATTTTTTGCATGTACTATTCCTGATCTTCCAGCACCATTTGTTGAAGAGGCTATTTTTAAACCATTTTATGCTTCTGTTCTAAGGTTTTGAGAACTGCATATTACATATGTAACTTCAATCCACCAAATATCCTGTATTTGTATCTGGTAAATCTTTATCAAGAAGATAAATAAAAGACATGATATGATCTTGTAAGGGTAGGATTCTGAGGTGTGTGTCTGCACGCAACCATCCCTAATTAATATTAGAGCATATTTTTAGATCTAGAACAAGATAGAGATATTGGATAAACAAGTTCATTGATGTCTACAGAACAACATTCCATTACTGATAAAAAACATCTCTTGGCCCACAAATCAATAACGAATGGCAAATGCCATTTTATTACAAAAACTTGAGTAAATTAATTCAGGTGTTCAACTCTTCTATGTCAGGATAGTATGCTGTGCCTCACCGCCTTTCTCCCTCCAAAATTACGTCTTATTTTACTATACTTAAAACCTTTAGATAGGTACTTATCCTAGTTGTAATGAGAGGGGAAGTGATGGGCAAGGAACTGAGATGACAGGCCTGAGGTAGCACTACCTGACTGGTCTCTTCTGGCTCTTCCGGTCCTTCAGGGTCACAAGTCTGGTTAGTAGAGGTCATAGTAATCCATTGAGCAAAGTATATTTCTATTGCATACCAATACACATGATTGAAAATATTAAAACAAGTTAATTGATCTTTAATAGGAACATGGAATTTTTTCAACTCATTATGTTGAAAATGAATTAGACTCAGTTAAGCAGTTGTTTTGACACTGTTAGGTCTCACCCTTTAACAGCGAGGTCTACCTCTGTATCCACAGTATTTTGTAACACATGATTCCTACATCACAGTGATGGCAAAAAATTTAACATGATTCTAATTGCAACTATGTAGATTATAATGAAAATTTTCACAGAGAAATGTTGTGCACAGTGATTTTTTAAAAGATATTAGCCTATTATGAACACAAAATTCTTGACTTATCTTACTTCAAGGACTCTATTTAGAAAATCAAACCAAGTCTCTATTATCAAAGTCCCTTTTTCAAAAATTAAGATATAATTTAATAAAGTTTCATCCTTTATAGTGTAAAGTTCTGAAAGCTTTTACACATACAATCATATAACCCCCAATTACAATCCACATATAAAGCAATTCCATCACCCCTCCAAATTGTATCCTTAATCTTTGTAGTCAACACCTCCCTTCATCCCCTGCCCATGATAATCACTGATGTATTTCTGTTCCTATAATTTTAAATATGCAAGAATGAGATATAAATTGAATCATACAGTATGTACTCTTCTGAACCTGGCTTCTTTGTCCTAATGTAATGCATTTGAAATATATCCAAATATCATATAATAAGACTCATTCATTGCTTGTATCAGTGTTCTTTCATTCATTTTTAAAAATTATTTGATTTCTTATTAATGACTTTTAAGAGTTTTAAAATATATATATATATATATATATATAAGGATACAGTCTTTCATTAGATATGAGACATGCAAATAATTTCTTTGAGTCTGTAGCTTGTGGTTTCACTTTCATAACAATGTCATTCAGAGAACAGAAATTCTTAATTTTAGTGAAATCCAATTTTTCTCTTTATGGATTATGCTTTTTATACTGTATCTAACAACTATGGCAGCTTCATAGTAAATCTCAAAATTAGGTAATATTAATCTTCCAATTTTGTTCCTTTTCAAAATTATTTGGTTGTTATAGATCTTCTGCATTTCCATATAAATTTTTGATTCAACTTGTCAATTTTTACAAAAAAATAGTGCTTAGATTTTTATTATAATTGAATTGAACCTATGGACAAATTGATGTAGAACCAACATATTAATAATATTGATTCTTTTAATCCATGAACATAGTATATCTCTCCATTTATTCAGGTCTTTTTGATAAATCAGTTTTTTATACTTTTGAGCATACAACTCTTGCACATGTTTTATAAGAGTTAGATTTAAATAGCTAATGTTGTTGGTGCTATTGTAAATTATACTCAAATTTCAATTTCCAATTGATCATTGCGTATATGTATATATATGCATTGTATATATGTATAATATATAAATACAGCTGATTTTTATAATATTGACTCCTCTTTACCTTGCTAGTAACAAAAGGAGAGGAAGAAAGCATTCAGTGAATGTGTTGAGGCTAAAAGGAGGAAAATCACATTCATAAAGTTTTGTCGACTAAAAGTGAGAAAAGTTAAAATATCCTCAAAAACGAACATATACCTTTTATATTGTTTGTTATATTTTCAATTCACAAAGAGTAACAAGAGTGTTTTATAGTTTCTGTGCAATATTAAATGTTGGAATTACAGAATATTAATCTAATCAGTCATATTAGACTCTGATATGTAACAAATATTTCTATTGGGGCAGAGAAAAAATAAACTATACCTTTCCAAGCACTGTCAGCTGCTGAACTAAAAGATGAGCACTTTCTGTCTTTCCGGCCCCACTTTCTCCAGAAATAACAATGCACTGGACAGTGAGAAATGGAAACTGTGAGAAGGCTTTATCACATGAAATTCAGTGGACAAAAGAAACTAAGAGGAATTTCTAAGAATGTGTCACTTCTTACCTGATCTGAATTATATGTTACCATAGACTGGTAGGCTAAGTCAGCCACTGCAAAAATGTGAGGAGGATTGGCAGTTCTCTTTGCTCCAATATATAGTTTGGAATGCTAAGGATTAAAAAAAATCACACTTTGTAGGGCTTTTGGTTTTGTTTTTGTTTTTGTTGAAACCCTAGATTATTTACAGGTAGAGTTCCAATTTTTAAAAGCAAAACATAAATAAAGTTTCATATCACCAAACACTACATACATGTTACACATACCACATACACATATGCACAGTTCATGTAAAATTATGTAAAATAAAAAAGACTGACAAAACAGCCCAGAAATATGATATGAGAATATGATATAATATCATCCTGGCAGCAGTATTTAAAAGAAGACTCTTTTGGAAGTGCATACCACTTCCAAAATAGAACTTAAGGTTTGAAAATACTATTATTTCTTTAAGTAAAAGGGACTTTATAACTAAGTTAGTCAAGTATCATTTTGTTGATTATTCCTTGGGTATAATAATGTCTGACATATGATCACCACTTTTTTTTTCTTTCATGTCTTTTATATACATTCTCTTACTTGATTTGTCTAAGATGAGACAGTTGATTGTTAGCAGAACTTGCACTAAAGTGCAAAATCATCTGAAACTTAAATCAAGGTTCCTAAATTCACCATGTAAATTTTAAGTTGGTAGAGGAAGAAAGTATTATGTATTTTCCACATATAAAACATAACTCAGGCCCAGTTTTAAATAATTTTCTGGAGTACACAAATAGCCAGAAGAGAATGGGTCCAATTAATAACAGTGTAGTTTAATTTCAGAACACTGTTCTATATTTCAACCACTTGAGGTTGAATAATGGATAACTATATATTTATCTTCATACAAAACACATGGTCTGATATTAAAAAATGAATCAATATGTCTAAAGGATTTCTAAATGCATAAGACAGGTTTCAGAGCTGTTAAGTATATATTACCTATATAAACAATGTGATTATATCTTTAATTCTCCAATACTTGGTTTGGAGGTAGGTACTAGGTAGACAGTATTTTAGACAACTGTGTTTTGATGTGACACACAGGATAGACTAGTTATCAATAGCTGGAAGTAAGGCACATCTGCCACATACCTTTGGGAAAAGGAAGACCACATACGGCATCCAGGTTAAAGTCATTTTTTATTTTTTCCTTCCTTTATGTTTTAATAATAGTTATTTAACTGTTTAATCAAGGTGCTAAATAAAATTTTCTTTAGCATAATTTACATTAATTTACATATTTTAATTGTGTAATTATTAGTATAAAGTAAGAGAATTCAAGGCACACCACATACCTCCGTGGAATAAAGACCCAGGCTCTGGAAAGGGTTAAGAGCGATGAGTATGTCTCCCACATAGATATAAATCTGACCTCTGGAATAACACTTCTCAAGTTGCTCAGAGACTGTATTCTATTAAAAAATAAAAATAATTTCTTTCTATTAAAAATAATTTATGGTCAATAACCATTTAAAAAGTAAACAGTAATAAATAAAACATCTGGAATCTGGATGAAGGCTCTAGAAAGAGATATATGTATTGATAGTAACACGTGTAACATTTGGCCAACAACTGCCCTTCCACTTGACAGGCATTTTCTTTGGTTTTGAGAGCCATACAGGGATGTCATTGTTATCTGTGGTTTCCAAAGGACAAATGTGATATTATAGGGATATTATATATATATATAATGCTTCAAGGAAATAAGTAAATGCAGAAGATGAAATAAAGAGAAAGAACACTAGAAAAAGCAAGGGAAGGTACAGTGAATATGGTAATATTCCAAATTGAGATTGTTCAGTGGCTTTGTGTTATATTCTAGCCATTTGCTTAGACATTTGGCTTTATGAGGCAGAATGAGAAGTTTAGAAAAGTACCTTTCACAGTGGATAAATAAGTATATGAAATCAATTTTAATAGCACCATGTACTACTTTAATAGTAAATGATACAAGAGAGGAACAAAAGTTGTTAGGTCAAAAAAGAGACAAGAAAGCACAGACAATAGCAACAAACAAACCCAGTGTTTAACATATAGGTCAGCAATATAATATCAAGGCCTTCTTTATAATCCACAAGCCTAGAAATTCACATCACTGGAAAATTTGATACACAAGGATTCATAAGGGTTTTGGCAAAAATCTCTGACTTGCAAACACTGTCTGATTACAAGATGTTTGATGTTCACAAGAGAGATTATTTTGAGGAAGTACTTGAGTTGTTTATGCAACCCTAAATTTACCAAATGACTACTTCTGCTCAGAAAGTATCTCCTGATTTGTTGCATTTCTGAGCAAAAATGATTAGGCATGTATCAGAAGTATTTAAAAAAATTTGTTGATCAGACAGGATGGAGATCCCAGCCTTTTACTGGAAAGGAACTATTCATTTCTATAATGATCTGATTACCTGGAATAAAGGGGGATGAGGGGAATGAAGGCTGAAACTGTAATTTACCGGCTTGGATTTGGACCTTACATAGAGATGTTTAAACTATTTCTGAGATCACTGGGATTAGGGGGACCACTGACCACAGTAATAGGCTCTTGAGGTATCCTGGAGGCCTCTAAGTACTGCCAGTGAGAGTGGAACAGGAGAGGACGAAGAGGTTGCAGGAGACAATGTTTTGACCTTAGTACATTATCTTTTTGAAACTTACAGAAAGAATTCAGGGGAAGAAGAATCTGTGACCTATAAGCAATGCATGTGGGTAGAAACTCACACTGTTGCAATTTGAATATCAGGAGCAGAAAAAACTTGACAGCAGGCTGGAGCTGTCTGGGCATTTGTGTTACACGTGTCAAAGGGGAAGATAGGAGAGAGATTCCGGAAGCGAAGAGGCAAAGAAAGCATGAGATGTACGGATGCTATTCAAACAACCTGCTACTCACACCAATTATATAAATTTAAAAAATCAAAAATGTTGATGTTCAATTAAACTGGGCTCCTTACCTCATCCAAAACTTCTAGGGTTGCTAAATCATCTACATCCTTCAGACTGGAAATTAAAGGCCTGCTGAAGTTACTTTTCTTGGTGTGAATACGTTCGTGTCTGTGGAGAAATACAAAAAGAAAAACCCTTTCTGATTTGAGAACTTACTACTGATCATAGTGGAAATAAGTTTTAGATTCATATGAGACTGAAAAACTTCTATGAAGCTGATTTATTAAATTCGATGAAAACAGTTTATCAGAAAATAGCCTAATGTATTGGATTTGTTTGTTTTCCTTCTCCCCTGGAAAAATGTAACTGATTAGACTTACTTCATGGATGAACAAGAGTTCACAGTTTCTATCAATAACTATCCTACGTGTAATTTTCTTTAATGTTTTCTCTAAATTCTTATATGTGATTTAATCTGCTACAAGGTGGTAAATCAGAGAGATTTTAATCCATTAGTTTACTAATTTTGTATGAGGTAATATTAGGCCATTCGTGGTCAAGGAATAGTAATTTAAAAATTATTATTCAGCAAAATTTAAGAAGAGTACAAAAAATAAACCACATTGTAGATTTCCCAAAGGTTAAAGGTATGTATAAAATTGATTTCAGACATTAGGAAGTTTATTCTCAAAGGAAAACATTTCAGCAACTTTCACTAATATCATAAGGATCCTGATTTGACATGGAGGCTAGAGAAGTTGCTGAGATAAACACAAGGGGTTGTTTCACCTTTTCTGGACATAAAACGATCATCCACTTTATTTTGAGCAAACCTGTATTTCCAATGTTTATTTTTGGATACACTTTTAAGTATCTGAATTTGTCTATTAGTAAAAGGAAAAAGAATAAATAGATTAAGAGGAACAGTATGAATCAAACTATTCCGTCAGTACATTTGAATGCTTTCTCATTGCTTAGAGAATTAGGTCACTATTGATAAACTATCTTGGCCTCTATCCATGGCCAGCCCTGGTTTTATGCACTGCATTCTGTCTCCTCTCACTTATTCAAGGAAATCACTCTTGTCGGGTCCTCTCTCACTTCTACATCATTCATTCTTAACTGTCAGCTGCTATAGCAAACAAAAAACACCATTTCCTGACTTCCTGTTTTTTCCATCTACTGTTCCATTTCCTTGTTTTATTGCAAAAATCCTCAAAAAATTTTCTAAATTCAGTATTTTCAATTTTTCTCTATCATTAAGAAACCCGATTTCAGTCAGGCTCTCCTTGCTACACTCCACGGAAACAGTTTCTGTTAAGGACATCCATGACCCTCACAGAGCTAATCCAGTGGTAGTTCTAATCCTCATCTTACTTAACCTATCAGAAGCATGAAACAGACCCCCTTCATGACTACATCCATCTCAGCTTCCTATACTCCTTCCTTGATTCTCTTCCTTAATTCACTGGCATCTTCATCTGAGTGTTTCTGTTTTCTCCTTATCTTTCTGTGACATTTTGGAGTTTCCCAAACTTCAGTCCTTGCAGCTATTCTCTATGTTCATGTCCTGTTTCATAGCTTTAAATATTACTCATGCACTGACAAGTCTGCTGACCTACAGACTTACACATCCAACTGCTTACTCGACACTTCATTTGGAAGTCTAACGGGCGGGCTTAACACATCCCACACCACGGTCCTTACTAACACCCCAGAGCCCCATACCTGCTCCTGTTCCATGATCCTTATCTCAGTAAATGGAGACTTCATTCTTATTGTTCAGGTAAAAAACCTGAGAGTGACCCTTGGCTCTTCTCTTTCTCTCACACCTCCTGTGCTGTCTATACACAAATCTGTTCAGCTCTGTCTAGAACCAAACATTTCTCAACACCATCCACCTCCTCTACCACATTTTCTTCTCAATAGCCTTCCAAGTGGTTTCCCTGTTACCATCTCTGCCTTGTCACTCTTCTCAACACTGTATTCAGAACGATCTTTTAAAAAATATGTAAGACGTGTCCTTTGTTTTTATTTCCTCCTTGTCCCTACTTGTGTGATGAAACCGTATTCACTTTTCACAGTCCAACTCAAATGCCACCTCTTTTGAACCATTCAGCATAATTCCTACATCCTTCAGGACAAATATCTTAGTTAAGTCATTTCAGTCAGTCCTTTGCGTATGGATTTTGTTCCTTTACTAGACTGTAAACTTCCTCATGATAGGCATATCTCTTCAAAATATGGAGCTGGAACAATGAAATGTCCATGTGCAAAAACATAAAAAAGACTCTAGACACTAACCTTATACCTTTCACAAAAATTAACTCAAAATGAGTCACAGACCTAAATGTAAAATACAAAACTATAAAACTGTGAAAAGATAACATAAGAAAAAATATAGATATCCTTAGGTCTGGAGATGAGTTTTCAGATACAACTCCAAAAGTACTATCCATGGAAGAAAAAATGATAAATGGGGTTTCCTTAAATTAAAAACTCTGTTCTACAAAAGACATTGCTAAGGGAATAAAAAGTGAAATCACAGATTGGGAGTAAATATTTGCAAATCGTGTAATGATATAAGACTTGTATCTAATAATAGGAATAGTTTTACTCCTATTTGCAGTTCTCAGATTCCTCCATAATTTTATAGCTTTTACAGAAATTTACAGTTAGGCACTTATTTGTGTGGATAATTTAGTTAATATTTGAATCCTTTACTACAATGTAAGCTCCCAGATGTACAAGAATATGTGTCTTTAGTTCCCATTTAGAACATAGAAGGTCCACAATAAAGGTTTGCTGAGTGAATGAATGAATGAATGAATGAATGAAGGCTTATCCCCCATGATTTCTGGCACAGGACAGGAATATAGTTTGTCTCCACACTTGCTAAACACAATAAATATCATCTTATTTATCCTCTATTTTCAAAGAGACTCATATAATATACATTTTTTTAAACTAGAAAAAGATATCCAACTATCCACTTAATTGAAGTGAAGAGCCCTGAACTTTTCGTCTGTTTTTATGAGCCCATTTGGCAGATAAAGACTATTCCTGGAGAATAAAAAGGATTGGATAGTGAAGAACTGGGGGATTAATATTTGGCAGGCTGGTGCCCTCATTCTTCTGCTCCTGTGAATTCATCCTCTATGATGCTTTTGGTATCAGCTTCCAAAAATGTAGCAAAGGTTTTGATACTGTGATGATTAAAAACCTCAGCTGGCTCACCATATTCTATAGTATGACTTAAAAATTCCTTGGCATGAAATCAATGAATCTTCACAGTCTTGCCTCAAACAACCTTTCTAGCACCGTCGTACATCCTCTCTGTACAGAACATTCCCCAATATGTCAAGTATCTCCAAGATTCTATACTTTGCTCATTCTTTTTTCTCTGCCTGGAATTACTTTCCTCCCTTGTCTGGCCAATTACTACTTATCATGCAAAGTCAGGCTCAAACAACACACTCTCTGCAAACCCATCTCAGAGAGCATATGCCACTGGCAGAGATGCTTTCATGTTCAGTTAGGTATATTCATGTTCATCATCCCCACCACAGGGGGAGAAACTGAGAGAAACCAAATGCTATTCATCTTTTTATGCCTGAAATGGAGAATACAAAGATGTAAAATACAGCGGGTAGCTTCAGTGGAACTACTGAGCCTTACTCCAAACAACTGGTGTGCAAACTAACCCTTTTGGCAAGAGAACTGAAGCCCAGTTAGGTGCTGGAGGAATGCAATGAGAAGGCACGTGGCTGTCCCGTACATTCTGGCTCCCGCACGCTTCCCTCCCAATCTCTCTCTGGTCAGGGTTGAGGTCAGTTCAACTAGAGAAGCACCCTGACCACTGAAATTGCCTATTTGTATTTCTCCCATAACTGTATTTCTGCATCACTAATTACTGCAGGACAGAGGCCCTGGCAAAAGGGTGCTCTGAACAGCATGGTCAGTGTTGCTGTCACTTGCTTGGGCCTTAAACATTATGCAGAAAATGAGGCAAGAAAAAGAGACAGTTACAGCTGTCACGACAAAGTAGCACTAGTGAATGACTCACATCTATACTCTTTTGAGTGGCATGACAGTTGCATCAATAATATCGTTCAACATTAAAATTAGCGTAACATTGAAAAAGCCACACAATTAACAATGGAAGAGCACAGGACATAAGAGTGAGAAGAATAGTTAAATATAACACCATCCAATTTCCTTTCATTTTAAGAAATGTGAAAAGTCAGATAAGTTTGTGATAGGTTCAACCTTGTGGCAAAACTCAGTGAACTACCTGATTAATATAACATTTCCACTTGTGATTTACTAGATTTCTCCCCCACTTCAAATATGCACACACATACAAGAAGAGCCTTGATTAATATACCTGATTAATATAACATTTCCACTTGTGATTTACTAGATTTCTCCCCCAATTCAAATATGCACACACATACAAGAAGAGCCTTGAATTATACATGTTTCAACATTCATTACTATATTCATCCAACAATTCATTCATTCAACAATTATTTAAAACTCTGGAGCACCCAACATGCTGGGAACTTACGAAGACACCAGAACAGGTCCCTGCTCACATAGAGCACACAATCTGATGAAAGAGTTAACAACAACAACAAAAAAAAAAACAACAGCCCTGGCCAGGTGGTTCAGTTGGTTGGAGCACCATTCTGTATAACAAAAGGTTATGGGTTTGATTCCCAGCCAGGGCACATACCTAGGTTGTGAGTTCAATCTCCTGTCAGGGTGTGTATGGGAGACAACCGATAGATGTTTCTCTCTCACATCAACGTTTCCCTCTCTCTCTCCCCACCCCTCCCTCTTTCCCTCCCTTTCTCTCTTTCTAAAAAAATTAAGAAACATATCCTTGGGTGAGGATTAAAAAATATCAACAAAAACAATTTAAGACAATTTCAGCTGGGACTTATATGTTTGGATAGATTCATTTTTGAAGAAGAATATGTTAAAATCAAGGAGGTACAACTAGCTGCTGCTTCAAATACTACTCTGTTAACTAATATAGCTATATCTGTTCACATGGGTTTTGAAAATACATAAATGAAGCATAGTTTTAGGTGCATGAATTAGTTTTGAAAGCTTTCTCTATGAATTAAACACTTTACAAGCTATTTAAGTTGTAATTCATG